TTTATTGTCATGTAAACCACCGCTCTGTGTTAAAGCCTGTGTGTATCTTTGGCATTAATATCACACTGGGTGTCAACAATAACAGCCGAAAACACAGCAACGACAAGCAAGTCCTGGACATAATACAGGAGAATATAGTTTACTGTACGCCCTTACCCAATGTTTAAAAAAATAAACCATTACCTAACCCTAACCCATTATAATATATATATAGTTTTAGTCATTGTCTAATAGCAGTGGTGTTCTTGTTATTATTATATTACTAGCCTAAACAAAATGTCCTCCTAGTTTAAGTGCATGTTTTGTTGTGAATTATTTTACTTTCTTGATAAATTACAAAACTGTGCCTCACGGGAATGGACTGAATCTACTAAAATGTGTGTCATTGTTGTCATAGTTTTAAAGAACATTGAGTCATGTTTTTACAATCACTGAAAAAAGACAATGCAGATAAAGTAAAGTGCTGTCCTCCGATGATTGGTTTTGAGTTTGCGCACCAGCAGGGGCCAGTCCCTGTGCTCCTCTGAGTCCCAGCAGGGGCCAGTCCCTGTGCTCCTCTGAGTCCCAGCAGGGGCCAGTCCCTGTGCTCCTCTGAGTCTGAATTGGTTCATATGGCACTAACATGTCACAGATGTACTTTGGTGTGAGGCCATGGAGAGATTACACAAGCAGAGTATTAAGTCGTTTGTTTTAGACCAGGGGTCGACACTTTGTCAATAGAGCCCTTTTCTTCAAAAGAACAATTCTCCGGAGTTACCCATATATAACACAAGTTATAACGTTTTTAAATATATATTCTTTTTTACCAGTTGCAACTTCTTAGAACAATCCGTTGGGACACATTTCTGCTTGTTTCCCCTCTCAATGCTGCTGCTTCTTCCACACGTGTCCGTTCTCGGCACACAGTTTCTCTTCAGGTCTGTCACAGAGGTCTGTTCACACTCTCCAGTCAGCCTTATGTAGATAGTAGAGGCATCATAATAAAACATACACAAAAATACATAACGTTTTTTTTGTCAAGGCTAAAGAGCTGAAAGAGCCACATGTTGCCGACCCCTGGTGAAGACTGTTTGGTCACTTTTTTAGAATAAAGTTTTTATTTAGTTTAGTTTATTTCAAGCACCCAATGAAAATGTGTACCTCATGTACAATGAAAAAAGAAAACAGAGATATGATTGTTTTCTTGAAAAAAAAGACTTAAAACATGTCATGGTAGCCCATATAAAACTGTTGCCATCATAGCTGCGTGTTAATAATAATAATAACTGGAAATTATGTTGAGTTGCAGTAAAACAAATATTTGTCTGCCCTGAACCAGTTGAGCTTGAACAGTGAAAGAGGAGCAGGGACAGGTTGAGCTGCAGTCAGTATAGAACAGTGTTTACCACAACCCTCTCTGTCATGTTGTCCATACATGCATTCATAAGCAACATACATCCATTCAACAAACCAAACCATTCAAGATTAGGCCAACTTTGTTTTCGGCAAGAGAAACACAATCAAGACACTGCATGTGAGAACAAACAGGCATCTTCTTGTGTTTGGTGTTAACTGGTGATTACTGGTGTAAACTGGTGTTTACTGATTATTACTGGTTAAAGCTATTTTACACATTTTAACCAGAGATCACATCAGCACTTCAGCCACGTGTTGATAATAAAGACAAAATATAAATAAACACGGTATTTCTTTGAAGAAACTTGGGCTTATCCTCACAGTTGCAAATCTTGTGATTAAGTTTGGCATCTTCTAAACAATAGGGCTGAAAGTTTCAGTTGGTGTTGGGATGAGAGCCAACAGTTGTGTGAGAAAGCTTGGCGCAGTGGTAATCCCAGAGTGCACCACTGCATCAGATCTGTGCGAGCTCACCTCAGGACGCTTGTGTGACGTGCAGCTCCACGGAGCAGAGACAGAGTGGGGAGAGCGTCGGGATGGAGCCAACAAAGAGAAGAAAGTGATACAAACTAGAACACAGGGTTTTCTTTCTAAAGGGGTTAGAGGAGATGGAGATCCTTCCCACCACAGATAGCACTATCTCACAGGGTTTAAAGGGCCCCCTCTCTGTAGCCCCCTCCCCCGCAAACACACCCCTTCTTTTTGCCAATAATGCCAAAACTTGGCAGCCAACCCAGCGTATGAGCAACAGTTTCCCATCAGAGAGAGGGGCAGCAGTCCTCCTGCCTTGGCACCACCACTGTCTGGAGACGGACAGACGCAGACACTGAACAACATGCTCTAGACACCAGAGGAGCATCAGAACAATGTTTCACTATATTAGGATTATTTTTGTTCCAAACAGATCACTGTATTAGCTTTAAAAGTCTGTTTCATTCGGGTCCGTCAGCTCCACCCCCCACCTCGAGGTAAAGACTTCACCTTTCTGTGTTAGCACAAAACTCTGTGCTTACAAACATCCAGCATGATGCCATCAAATTATGCTAATCCATTCAACTCTTAAACTCTCACTTTAGAGGAAGAAATACATCATGGAATAAAAGGGAGAGTGTTTATGCCGAGAGCATAGGGCAGGGTGAAGAGAAATCACACAGATAAGCATGTCATGGTTGTGTACTGTATAAAACACAGCGGACATGAGGGCAGTCACTTTGTTTTGTCCACACCTCTGTCACTGTGACACAATAGAAGAAAGAGCAGAAGAAGTGAGCAAAGGATCCGGGAAAACCACAAACACAAACTCAACCAGTCTCCATTTATTCATGGGAAAAGGAGCAGGCTTGTTAACTTGCACAATTAAGGCGTCATTTGCCAAGAGAAAGTGCACTGGTGTGTTCGCCTTTGTTTTGGGGGACAAAAGGTTGGCAGAGCGTGTTTAGCTCCTGTGAGCTTCAGAGGGTGGGTTTGCTTACTGTTGTTGTGCCACAACAACAAGGGCCCCTGTTGTCACCAGCACAGACAGTCTGACATGGGTAAGTGCTCAAGCTAAGGTAATTTTGCATGGTACCAGGACAAAGGGCACCATACACTGCATGCCCTTATGAAAGGCCTATGTGTAATAGAGACAAAGATGGCTCTCATTGCCCTACATGTGGATACAGGCCAATATATTATTTAGATTTTACATGTTTTCAAAAGTTTTGATAAAGACATATTCTGCCAACAGGATAAACGCTAAGCTCTTTAAAACAGCAGTTATGCCTACTACTAAATATATTTAAAAATAAGAAATTGCTGACCCGAGTATTACTGCACACATATGTTTTGCTGTTGATATTTATTGAAGCACTTTAAGACGTTGAAAATGTACGATGGCAGCTATGTATTTCTTTGGCAGATATTAAGCAGATGATCCAAACTAAAGATACTGATAGTGTTTTTTTTTTCAATTCATTTGAATTCATTCTTGCCCTAAATCACAGCAGTAGTTATCTCGGAGGACTTACCAAAACCGTTGAATTCGCCAAGGCAGACCAGAGAAACAAACAGGTCAAGCTCAAGAAATGCAATGATTAATAAAACACATAGAGCCATAAGTTCTATGGTTGGTTCTAAGAGACCAATGTCCACAAATGTTGATAAATGTCCATAATGTTGTTGAATGTTGAGTGTCCTGGATCATCACCACTGTCCTAGACCCAGACTAGGGTCTTTTGGTGGAATATCACAGGGTCTCTTTCTCACACTCAATGTGGAAACATGATATAAAGAGGAGAAGCTGTCCATCCAGTTCTAATCACCCTAACGCTTGTGAAACTCTATTCACGTGTGAAGCTTCTTTAAGATCGCCTTCAAGTTGTTTTGCAGCCGCCTGAAATCTTTCCCAAACATAACGCTTGACTGGTGATAGGAGAAAACTGACAATGTGAATGCAACGCACAGTTCTTAACATAATGCAAAGAGCTCAAAGTCCAAAGTGTGTGATGTGGTCAAAGCCGAAGCACCTGACGCAGTAGATGCAACAGTCAAGTCTTTGTAGGCCCAGAATAATAAAGGGTAAATAAAATGTATAGATCCTAATGTGCTCCTGGTGCGCATGACTAGACTCATGAGAGGCCAGTGTGCAGTGATTGCCCCATTGTCTGGACGCTCCGCTGCATTTAGCTGTGTCCGGGGCCAAGGCAGGGCCAGAGAGGGGCCGCCCCAGGGCTGCATGGGTCACTCTCCCGGGTCAAGCCACACTCACCAGTCCACACCCAGAAATAAAGCCGGAATCAGACTGGAGTGAACAGGCTGCCTCAGCAGAGTGAATGAGAGTGCATAGCTATATTCTGCCCCGTAGTTTAAGTACTTTTCAGATCGAGTGTGTCTTAGTACTTTTTTCAGGAAATTTAGAAAACACAGAATTCAAGTGGATCAACGTGTAAATACAACAGCTTCTCCTTCTCATTGAAGTGAATTATCGGTTATTCAAATTAGATATTTGCAGACCAATTTAAATGTTAGGGATACATTTGGGAAGGTCAGGCAAGTTTTCTTAAAGCGTTCTTTGAATAGTTTGATTTACCTTGTGTATGAATAGTGCATACAAATAAACTTGCCTTGTCTCCCATTTATTTTTGTATAGACCTAAATCACAACAGGAGTCGTCTCGGAGGACTTCAAACTGTTGTTGATCTGCAAACAGCAGGTCAGAGAATCAATCTGTTCAAACACAGGAAATACAATAGTAAATTTCTAAATATTATTATCAACATTAATTGCATAAATGTTAATACATGTTTTTAATTGTCCTGGATCACTTTTCCTTAGACCCTCCTGCATCAGCAAGGGACAACTCCATATGGGAAAACATGAGAAACCAGAAGATATGGTACAACATGTGTAAAAGTACATTTATTGGTAGAAGTTCATTTCTCTTGTTGTAAATACAGCATTTTTTCTCATGTTTTGCATGAAGGTGGAATCTAGTTCATGGGTCAAATAGAAATGTTATAGTTTTGAAAGCTTTTGTCGCTTTTGTCTTTGGGCATTTCTTTGGTCAACCTCAGCCCAAATAGATACATGTACTCAATGGAAAACAAAACATTTCTAAAGCTTCAACAATGCCCTCTGAGATACTTCCCGTGCATCTCTCTGCGCTCAAACTGCCACAGGCTGATGTCCGGCACGTTGGTGGCCGAAGCCGTCGCCTTCCTGACCCCGGGCTGCCCTTCACAGCAGGCTCCTGTGTCCGACACCAGGAACAACGTCCAACACAACTTTCTCCACGGACCAACAAGCACAGCTGTCTGTCCCAGTTATCGGCACATGAGATAAATGAGCTGACAGACACCCAGGGCGAGTCTCTGAGTAGATGTTTGAGCATGGATTTAAGAATGGCATGTGGTACAACCTATTAAATACAAATATTTCTATTTGAATGATGAAATAATTAATATGTGATACACCTTATCACAAGTATGCATATTCAGACTTATTCACCCTCGATGTGTGAAGGAGAGGTTCTGCAGGTCCTTCCTCCCTGCTGCTGTCAGACTGCACAATTAGGTCACTTTACTTGCTATATATATATCAATACTACATTTTTACAGATTCCATTCATCTGATAATTCACCCGTGACTTTACTGCTATTATTACAACTGTTTATTTTGGTCATACTCTCGGCTGCTAAAGTACAATATAAACATCTGTAAATACCTCATGATGCTGTTAATTGTATCCTCCATCAGAGACTTATCCTTGAACCAAGAGCAATCATAGCGCCACAGTTGTATATTATTAGCTATTATCTTTAATAATTGATCCTGTTTGATATGTGCAACCTGAGTGCTCTTATTTTCTCCTTTTATTCCGCTCTCCACAATGATGACGTTGAAATTTCCCCACTGAAGGACAATGGTTCATCTTATCTAATTCCATAGGCCACGTACAGACCACATTCTAATCAATGCAATACTATTTAATCTGGGATCGCAACAGATTTTGGAACTAACAATATGCTTTGCCTGGGGAAACACAAATGCGACTGTTTATGTCGAGTAAACTGTTTGTGTAAATCTATTAGGTTTCCTCCAGGTGCTACGGTTTCCCCTTTCACTAAAAACATGTACAATAGCTCCACTCTCTCTGGAGCCAGTCTCTGAAGAACTTTCCTGGTTAAATAAAGTTAAATAAAAGCCAATAAATACGTATTTGTTCCATATCACAGATCAGGCCGTTGTTGCACAGGATGTGCGACGAAATGGCCAGAACTTGTGTCACGTATTTCCAGCTTTTCTTTCTTAATTGGTTGTGCTGTCCCTAAACTTAAAAAACAGACAACCTAACAACTACTGTATTACATGTTTATACTCACACTTGTGGCCCGTAAAGAAAAATATACTTGCTGGTACAGAAAAAAGCGAACGTGACACTGGTGAATAATAGTGTTAATACTTTCACAAAACTTTGGGGGCTATGCATTCTCATCCAGTTTTAGGGGTCAAAGAGGAATAGAGGGATTAAAACTCACTAAACTCGTGCAGGAGACATCAACAGATAACTTTGTGAATGGGCCATTTCGCTTCCTCATTCAGTGGCTGTCCTATAAGATCGGGAAGGGAAGAAAAAGCACTAACAAGATGCACATTTTACATTGAAAACTGTTATTGTTGGGCTCCTAATCTGGCCCACCATCTGAGAGGAGCGCAGAGCTAAAGAGTGGGGGCTCAATAGGAAGAGCGGAGAGGAGAGGGAGGTGGAGGCAGGGCGGATCAGTTGGGAAGTGTAGAATGGATGTTTCTTTTTCTCTATGGGGAACTTTGTATTTGACTGTTGTTTGTATCTGTCTTTCAGTGGCCTGATCCCCGTGGGCCTGGACAGGGAGATGCTTCTATATGTTTGTGAGGAGAGTGACGCTGGGATCTACAGCTGCAGCTCAGCGGATTAGCCGTCATCCACAAGGCAACATTACACAAGTAGCCTTTGAACAAAAGTCATGGATACTATTAATGATATGGTAATCCCTAATGGAACTACCTCCCAGTAGTGATTATACTGACATGGGAAGAATGTCCAAGAGTCCTGGACGCTACTAGCCAAACAACACTGTGGCTATTGTTGCCAGGTCTGGTCTGCGGCCTGCGCTAACTTCCACTGGCATGAGATGACCAACAATCCCACAAACTGCCCCATGCTCTGTTGACACGGTCCCTCCACCCATCACCCTGTGAATCAAAATCAAAACTCAGAAATGTTTGGAGCGACAGCGCAGGCCGGGGGCGAGGGTGTGGACGACAGGAGAACTTCTGCGGATGCGGTTCCCACACAGTGAGGTGCACTACATCCCTCACAGAGTTCTGCATCCTCCATGGGACCACACAGACTGGTCTCACATTCAATCTACAGAGCAGGAGGATGCCACTCAGGGACCTATAGTCAGCTAAATGTTCTCAGCTGGTTACGCTGTAGGAAACTTTAATCCCCAGGGCTTTAAAACATCACGCTTATTCAAACAGTGTCATTGTTCAATGGACGTTTTATCTTATCAGATTGTGTTTTATAGACATAATGTTACGATGCTGATGTTGGTGCTGCCCTCGATGAGAAGACCTGTTGCAGAATGAATGTCTTGTCATTTTGATCCGTTGAGTATACCACAGCAGTAATGTGTGAGGTTGTTCTTAGGGCATTATCCATGCTAATATTATGCCTCCCTAATGCCACACACATACTAAAATCTCATACTCAGTGGTAGGATGGGAAAGGTCAATTGATTTACTATTTATAATGTTAAAATAAAGCATGTCGTTGAATACATTGATTTTCACATTTTCTTTACGACAAATGCATCATTTTATGCTGATTTAAGGTATAACGAACACATGTCTAATTTGAATAAAATGTACCAATGACTTTTAAAATGTCACTTTGTCACCATCAGACTGGCCTCAGATATGTGTGGTTTTTAAACAGGCCGGTCCTTGCTTGACTGATATGTCAAAGTTGAGGACGCAGAAAGAGGAGAATGAGAATACCACACAGGCACTGACACCGGGATCAATCCGATTGGCATGATTTAGCATTCGGACGTTTTGAATAAAAATGAGTGCGCTAGACGGTGGAGCAGTTTGATTAGTGAGCTCCTTAAGTCCCTTGGAGCCCATTCTCCTTTCCTTCACTGCCAGAAGAAAAGTCCTTTTTCTTTCCTTTCACTCGTCCCTTGGTAGGCCAGCTTTTTCGTCACTGTTGGTATTACAAAATCCCTATTGAAAACAGCCCTTGTCACCTGTCAACTAAGCCAGGCTGGTTTGCTAGGTCTTTATCCTCAACACATACGTACACAGAGCTGACTCCCTGCCCCCAGCCCTACATTCATACAGCCATATCCCACCCACTAAACCCATGTCGGAGAACTGCTACTATAGCACTTTAAATTCATTACCCTGTTCACTTGAACAAACTGGGACGGGCTATTGGTTGCTTTCTGCAGCCGCTGATGAGCAGTCTCTGAGGCGCTCTGTGGGAGGGCTCGACTGAGTAAAACAAGCTTCAAGATGTATTAACAATTGTCTAATGGAGCTGATATATGCAATTTTATATACGGGAAGTAAATACGCTTGACGACAGTTTAACATGGACCGTCAAGATTCAAAATGACTGCTGTTGTCATTGCCATTGCATCAACTCAGTGCCACATGTCCCCGAACCCCAAAGTCCACAGTAAACATTAAAGCAATCTTGATGATCAAGCAACACTGCAACACAGTAACAGATACTGGAGAGAGAGACTGAATGAATGCAGCGATGCCAATTCCAGTTCAGAGCTATTTTTAGTGAATTTGGTCGCAGTCCCATTTCAGGTTTATCTTCATCTGAAATTATTCAGTGACTTCGAAGCTCGGCCATCAAAGTCCAAAAGTTCATCAGAGTCCGAAGTCCCAAAACGTCTTCATAACACTTCAAAACACCTTTGAGTGAGCTACATCAGACATATCAAATCAGTTGTATTTGGTAACTAGCACAGTCATTTAAGTAGAAAGAAGTGAAAAGGTAATTAAAGGGTAGATTTTAAGCCCCCAACCTTGTTTCAACCTTTAGTTTTGGCCATACGGACCTAAAACAACTAAACAAATGAAAGAGTGTGTTTGTGATGCGACATATTTGCATTCTGACGTCCACTTTTGACTGTGCAAGAATTTCCACATATACCTGCACATTTTTTGCTGCTTGAAAGCATTGTTTGTTTGTATGTTTTTTTCAGTTTTACTGCGGGACGGATGGTCCCTTATGGGCAGTTCCATGAGTCAGAGTCCATAACTTTGAATGGAGAGAATAGACTCTAGACTCTGCACTAGAGGCAACTTTGAGCAGTTAAGTTACTCTAAACTGTGATAACATGATTGAACACTCGAAAAAGTATTGCTTTACAGACAAAGAAGTTCAGTATGGGACCTGTACAAGCTACATGGATATGGAGTGAGAGGGCTGAAAGCTTTGCAGCAGCTGTACAAACCTGCACTTGTGTGTAGGAGAGATCAGGAAAGGATGATGGTTGGTCATCAAGCCTCTGACCATCAGGTCTTCGGTCATCAGGGCCTTTGGTCATCAGGCCCTGCCCTGAACAGGCGTCGCTCATTAACCCTCCGAGCCGCACAGGTCACGGGTCAATCTGGCCCCTCTTCCAGCTCAAATCCAGATGGACACAGCAGTGGGACTTATCCTCAGTCAAAGGGTCAGCCATGCAGAGTCCTGAAGACAGAAAGACACACATCAGAACAAATTGATTTATCAAACATTTACAGCTTCACGGCTTTCAGAGTCATGAAGATGTGACACTAAACCTGAGTGACATTTAGTGCTGATCATGGGAAATCCACTGAGAATGAAGGTGGTGGAAATTGATGGAATAGAGATACATGATTTTTGCAAAACATCATGTGAATTCTGTTAGTTAAGTAGACAAAAAAATAGAATTAGCTTTTCTTTTGGTTTTTTTGTTTCGTCTAATTATTCAAACAAAACTTAGACACACAAACACGCAGGACCAGGGTGGAAACCAAAACAAAATATAAGAAACTGTACCCAATAAAAATAGTGATAGACGGCCTCATGATGATCTACCACCTCCATTTCTCACTTTTTTCCCAGTGAGTGTCACATGATGGGTGTCTTTTTCATATGCACGTTTCAATAATCAAGTAATATTTGTGAGCACTTATTTCCAAGATAATCCATCCCACCTCACAGATTTGAAAATGAATGTTGTAGTGTGCATTAGAGTGACAATAAAAAAGGTCAGAGAAATAAATCTACTGTGCATACAAACCGGTTTTATATGAACTGGAAGATGATTTTATGTTTTTGCTCAATGTATTTGTAAACAATACTGGTGTCTAATGCGCTAAATACGCTTTCCCCTCCTTGTAAAATTACTCCACTTACATTGTAATTATCACTGAAACCGATGTGAATATTCGAACTGTTGTCTGTGTACGCTTCTTGTTTGTTTTATTGTATTTGTTTGTAAGTCTGCACCTGGATTGTATATCTATATTTTCCACAATAAAAAAAGAAAAAAAAGTATGATGCATTATTATTATTATTATTATTATCATCGTCATTGTTATTATTATTATTATTATTATTATTATTATTATTATTATTATTATTATTATTATCATCGTCATTATTATTATTATTATTATTATCATTATTATTATTATTATCATCGTCATTATTATTATTATTATCATTCTGGTCCTATTACTCCAATGCTGCTTAGAATGGTGGTTTTTTAAGTCTTTCTCTGGTCACATCAATATTTACGAGGCCTTGATTCTGTTTGTTTGTTATTTTCTTTTGTCTTGTCTGTCTTTATGTTTTAAATTGGATCTAAAGTCTGTAATAAAGTTGAATTGATACCTATTTATACAACATTTTAGAGCACATTTCACCGTATTCCGTAGGTTAAAAACAGTTCTGTTTAGCTGTGCATACAACTGAGGGGTTTTGTATTTTATATCTGTCTTTTTAATGTCTTTTTCAAATGTCTTTTTCATCTTCAATCAAAGATGTAAGTAGAGAATTAAACAAATTTAAATTATGGTTAAATATAAACAAATTGTCTCTTAATATAGAAAAAACTAAGATAATGTATTTTGGTAACGGTATGAATAATATTAAAGTGGATATTTCACTGGATGGTGTTAAAATTGAACAAGTGAATGAAATTAGATTTTTAGGAGTAACATAGGACAGTCATATTAATTGGAAACCACATATAAAACAAGTGCAGAATAAAGTTTCAAAAAGTATTGCAGTGCTTTATAGAGCAAGACAAAATTTGGATCAAAAATCACTTCTAATGCTTTACTGTTCTCTAGTTTATCTTATCTGTCATATTGTGCTGAAGTATGGGGAAATAATTACACAACCAACCTTTGTAGAGTATCAGACTTTACAATTGGTATTCAAAGCAAACAACAAATGTTTACCAGAAAATTTTCAGAAATGTAATGTTAATTAGAAGAGAAGAGTCTTACAATCTGAGACACAAAAGTAATTTTAGATCCATAAATGTGAGGACGACCAGAATAAGGACATCAGTGGAATAAGATTATGGAACAGATTGTCTGTGGAATTAAAAAAATAGTGATAACATAAATGTATTAGCTTAAAAAATACATTATTCAAGTGTTATGAGAAACGGAAACCTTAGGAAGGAATTTAAACTATATATGTATCTATACGTGTATGTGCGTGTGTGTAAGTATGTATGTGTATATGAAGGTGCATGTGTATGTACGTGTATGTATATGTATATGCATATGCCCATCCATCCATCCATCCATCCATTTTCTACCCTTTAATCCATTTCTGGGTCAGGGGGGTGGCAGTCAGAGATGCCACCCAAGTCTCATAGCACCAGCCCCTCACTGACCCTCTGCA